AGAAGGATGCTGAAAAGGATGGGCAGGGGAAGGAGAGCGGGTGTTCAACGGCGTTGGATTCAGTAGAATATGAAGTAGCAACAGTAACAGAATAGTACGCAGTACGACAAACTATAAAACGGCTTTGGTTCTAAAAAGTCAGTTTGACAATATCTGTCGAACATGAAAACGGTGAATTGCACGTAATTAGGAACCACCAGGCCTTTCTTGACATGCACGGAACCTTAACCTTAGCCATAGACCTCTCATTTATAGAGGCACCAACCATTCATGTCCATGTGCTGTTTTGGCCTCTTTCTACTCTGATTTCCAATATATTTTATTTCATTCAGTTAAGTCTACTCATCCTGTATCTGATGCCTGATTTGGAATTTACCTATACATCTTTTACCACGTACTTTTTCAGGCAGGCATAGGACTTTAAAAAATAAATGTGCGGACGGCTATGGAAAAACTATGTTCACAAACATGTCAGTAAAACTTTAAAGAGCAATGATGCTGCTGTATCCAATAAGAGCAAAGCAGCTTGTTGACTTTATCTTTTACAGTGAACTTCCCCTTCGTCTCCCCAGTTGGAACTCTCACAAAATGACAGTTTAAGTCATGTTTGATCTGAATTTGCTCCGATTTTTATGCTGAATCTGTTGAAACACTCCCACGAGTGGAGTGTGTTTTCGGTTGTAAGAGTTAAAGTACATTTGCTAAATGCTTAACATAAGGATTTAAGGAATAATAAAATGACAATTCGACGCTTGACGGGAGAGTGATATAACGATCTGAGGGTAATTTTATACTCGCTGCAGCGCTTCCGGCATATTTAGTGGTTCTGAAGAGTTCCCATGGTTCCTCTGTCTGGGGCTTCGTTGTGTGTGGTGTAGGAACGAGTACTGGAGTACTGGAGTTAGGTGGTTGGCTGGGGGTGGTGACTGTCCCATGTTATACTCTTTATTCTCTTGCTTGAGGCTCCTTGTATGAACTCGACGTACGTGGTTTAATACTTTTATTGACAACTCCAAAGTTACAACGAAGTAATTGTTGGCATATTCTCTACTTACAAATATACAGCACTAGATTAGGAACCTGGACCAAACCCCCCCCCCCCCAAAAAAAAAACAACAACACCAAAACAACAACAACATCCATCAACCCCTTCCCTGAAACCAATAAAGTTGTTTAAGTAACAATGAGTTTTATGCTGGTAATTCAAATCAGTAAATCATTTAAGGTTTTACTGAGTTCTTTTTTATTTAACATTGTTATTTCGTTCTTCTCGTCTATTTGCTCAATTTTTGTTGTTTGATTGTTGGTTGGTTTGTTTGTTTTTGTTTAGCTTCTATCGCTCAGAAAAAAATCGCATGGGGGAAGTAAAAAGTGATTGTCGGAACAGGTGGTTGTTTTAGACAAGTGGTCAGACTGCATTTTCTCCAGCTCTCACAGACACATCAACAGAAGCGAATTAATAAATCTACGCTAGCTAGCAGCTTGAGCTCAAAGCATAACATGCTAGACCCTGACTCAACAAGGGAAGAATCCGACAAACGAGAGTGAGTTCGTTTCAGGATTTTCATCAGGAGTTTGTGAGCAGAGAAAAAGACAGCTGCTGCCTTTATGGGCTGTGTGTTGTGTGTTTAACTTCCCAAAATTACAAGCTGCCCCTGCCTGTCACAGAAAAGGCAGTAATAAAAAAGAAGTGCGCTGTTGTGGTTTGATTTATTGTGTGTGGGAGCCTTTAGGGAATTAACTATTGAATGCGTGTTCCACTCTCTCCCTCTTTTGCTCTCTCTCTCTCTCCCTCTTTTGCTCTCTCTCTCTCTCTCTCTCTCTCTCTCTCTCTCTCTCTCTCTCTCTCTCTGTGTGTTCCGAGACTCTAGAAGCCATTTTCATTTCTGGCATTCATGTATCTTCCTGAAGGAACAAGTGGGTTGTGAGCTGGAGGAATTTGGCGCCTCTACATGTACAATATAGGACCGTGTGCGTCTGTCTGTGTGTACGTGTAGGTGCGTGCGTATGAGAAAGGACATCGATAGTAATATGAGTGTTGGAAAGTAGGCAAGGGTAGTTTTGTGCAGGGGGAGCAGAGATCACACTGAAATGAAGAAAAGGCTACTGTAACAGTACAAAACCTTAAACGAAAGCTGTCAGATAATATACAATTATTTATCGAGTACGTTAAAATAATTTTTAAAGACCATCACCCTCCCCCCCAAAAAAAAAACCCAACAACAACAACCCAACAACAACAACCCCACACAAAACCCCAAACTAACAAAGAGCAACAACAACCCAGTGACTACATCATATCATAAGAGTAAGGCAAGGTCATAAACTGTCTAAATTGTCTTGATGACCTACAATGAAAAAAGAAATATCCGCGTTCAAGCCAAACAATAGTTTACTCATTAAGTGAATCTAAAAGAACGAAAAAAAAAAGAAGAAAAGTTGTTCCTGGTTCTGAAACCTCTCCCACTGCTGGTTCACACGAATTCTCAAAACGCTGTCTGGCAATTCTTTTACTCTCTCTGTTCATCGTGGCATTTTCCTCCTGCAACTTTGTTACCACTCGAATTCCATCTCTTCATACTGCCAAGCAGTCTAGGTTGCGCCGATAGATAGGTTGGTATCATACTAGACTATGGAAGACAATCACCCTAGTTCAAATCCCTTAAAGGGGGCTCTGAACTTGGGGTTGATTTGAGAAGTTTTAAAGTTTTCTTCCAATCTGGCTGTGTCGTATCATGGGTGGACGTCAAATTCGGAAGGGGGGGGGACAGCCTCTCAGATAACTTTACAAGGCTGAAAGGGGCCTATAACCGTATATAATGACCAGTGATCAGTCTACTTTACAAAGAGAGACTCACCTGGAGGCCTAACGCCGTCAAGATCTCGTGCCGGGGAAAAAAGGGCGCTGGTTGGGATTCTCGGGAATGGTGGATGTAGAGACGCCAGTTTTTCCGCCGCAGCAGCAGCGGCAGCAGCAGCACTGGCTCCGCCCCCATCCCTAGCCCCGCCCTCTGCTGCCGCCGCGCGGGCCGCTAGCTGTGCCGCCTGGGCGTGTACTGCCTCAAGCCCCGCCCTCGCCGCCGCGGCGCCCGGAGACGCCAGGTTGTAAGGATACGACAGTGTGCTGTGGGTCAAGGACAAAGGATAAGCTCCGCCCAGTCCCGCAAATCGTGACGCAGCGGCTGCGGCAGCCGGCCAATGAGCGGTCGCTCCTGGAGGCAAGAACAAGAAGCCTTGGTTGGGGATTGGTCTCTGAGGTGATACTGAGGAAGGTACGGACGAGGGGCTCATGAAGGGTGAGCGGTTCAGCGCCGACGGGGATGGGAGCGTGGATAATGAAGAGGAAATGGACGATGACATTGCTGAGGGCGACGAGGAGGATGAGAATGGGGATGTCAATGACGACGATGATGTTGTCTTGATGAACTCAGATATGGACCATATTTTCGGTTTTGTCACAGGTGCTGATTGTGGGTTGTCGCTGGTGGAGGCGACTTTACTGGATGAGGACGATGAAGACGAGGATGTAGCAGAAGAAATGTCACTGGGAGACTGACTAGATCCTGCTTTGGAAGAAGACGAAGACGACGAAACCACAGAACTTCCCGGATTGTCTAGTAAAGTTCTGGAAGTTCCCAGATTTGAAGAGTTCAGGCCAGGCGACCGTCGTTCGTTATGAGAATTATGATGATGATGATGATGGTGATGATGATGTTGATGCTGATCGTCGTCGGATCTATTTTTAGCATCGGCGCTCAAGCCGTCCCGTGAGTCCCCGCGAGAGACGGGTCTGAGGGGGCTGCGGTCACGTGACCCCGAGCGAGGCGGTCTGGGGTGGTCTGGGTAGTCACTTCCCATGAGACGGCGGTTCTGGAAACTGTCCCTGGAGTTGTCGTCGTCGTCATCATCGTCGTCGCAATCATCTTCGTCCTCGTCGACCCGGATGATTCTCTCTTTGTACGTTTTGTTGTTGTTTTCACCACATCTGTCAGAAGCTGCAAAAAGGAAATGAAAAGAGGAACGATGAAAAAGTAATTGGATTGGAGAATGGATTCTGTTTTTGGTATGTTTGTATATTTGTATGATTGTTTGTTTAAGCTAAGTGTTATCGAGTTGTGCTTTAAAAAGAGAACAAATCGTATCTCGGGAAAAAAAGCAAACAAAACCATTGGGGAAAAGGGAAAACACATAGACGACAATACAATAAAGTCAAAATAAATTAAGAAAGATACATATTAAAACGTCACACACACACACACTCACACACACACACACACACAC